TCATTATCTGGTTTAAGACTTTACTAGAGAGCTATAGTAATCAAGAGAGTGTGGTGTGGCATAAGGATGGATGTATACTAGTATAAATAAGCATTGAGAGTTCAGAAATGACCCAACCCTAAGGGTCAATTTGGTTGATTTTTTTGTTTCCTCACCCTAGACTTGTTTCCATTGATTCTACAGAGAGAGCAAGGGATAAAGAGAAACATCAAACATCAATCAATTGCCTCCCAACATGCCCCTACCGGGAATTAAACCCACAACCTGGGTATGTGCCCTAACTGGGAATTGAATCTGAGGCCCTTCGGTGTATGGGAATACACTCTAACCAACTGAGCCACACCGGCCAGGTTAGGGTCAACTGGTGTTTGACAGAGGTACCAAAGTTACATAGAAAAGAATGGGTTTATCAATGAATGATGCTGAAATTACTGACTATCCCTCCCCTCACATCAAACACAAAAATTAATTCAAAATGAATTATAGTCCTAATTGTAAGGGCTAAAGCCATGAAATTTTAAAATAAACATTTCTAGGAGAAAATCTTTATGACCTTGGATTAGGTAAGGATTTCTTAGGACACAAAAAACACAAGCCACAGAAGAAAAAGTTGCTAAATTGGACTTTATCAAAATTAAACTTTTTACTTATGGAAAGACACCGCTAAAAATGGAAAGACAAGCAACAGATTAGGGGGGAAAATGCTTGCCATACATATATCTAACAAAGGACTTGTATCCAGAATATATAAAGAACTCTTATAACTCAGTAAGAAGACTGTCTAATTGAATGTTAAAGAGAGGAGGCTAAAGAATTGAATAGACACTATATAAAAGAATATATGCAGTTGGCCATTAAGAACATGAAATGATGCTCTCAACATGTTGGTCATTAGGCAAATGCAAATTCACAGCAAGAAGAAGAGAGATAGAAAAGGAAATAAGGAAATATATAAGGTCAAAGGAAGATTGCTTGTGTCTTTTTTAGGATAGAACTGGCTTAACAACTCAAATACATATATTATCCCCGGTCTCTCACTTTTTTTCTAGTTCTTATTTCTAACTGTATACAGTATCCCATCAGCACCTTCGCATCATTATATTTTAACTAGTGGCCTGGTGCACAAAATTAGTGCAGGGGGGGCGGCGGGTTGTGCCTCAGCCCAGCCTGCACCCTCTCCAATCTGGATCCCCTTGGGGGACATCCCTCTTGCAATCTGGGACCTCTGGCTCCTAACTGCTCACCTGCCTGCCTGCCTGATTGCCCCTAACCACTCTGCCTGCAGGCCTGCTCGCCCCCAATTGCCCCCCCTTGCCGGCCTGATCACCCCCAACTGCCCCCCACCAGCCTGCTCACCCCCAACTGTCCCCCCCCTCCCCCAGCTGGCCTGATAGCCTCCAACTGCCCCCACAGCCTGCTCACCCCCTACAGTCCTTCCTGCTGGCCTGCTCGCCCCCAACTGCCCCTCCCCCTCCCGCTGGCCTGATCACCCCCAACTGCCCTCCCCTCCTGGCCTGATTGCCTCTAACTATCTCTGCCTCGGCCCCACCACCGTGGCTTTGTCCGAAAGGATGTCCAGAAGGTCTCCCGGTTTAATTAGCATATTACCCTTTTATTAGTATAGATACAGAACTACAGTAGTTCCCTTTCCTCATTAAGCACTATTTTTCCCATTTCATTATCACTATAACATCACTATGATATCAGACTCAAAATTATGAAGTAATTTATTTGCTTATTCTTTCAGCATACATTTGTCATATTGTATTCCTTTTTCTATATGTATCTATGATAAAATGGAATTTATGTATTTGGGACAGTAAGAGGTTAACAACAGTAACTAATGCTACAGAACAGTAATAACAATATGTTGTAATAAAAGTTGCGTGAATGTGGTCTCTCTCTGATAATAGAGACAGCTACTAATTGTCTAACAGGTAGGTAGCATATACAGCGGGGGTGTGCTGGACAAAACCGTCATTCACGTCCCATTGGGACGTAGTGGATGGTGTGAGGTTTCATCATGCTACTTAGTACAGCATGCAATTTAAAACTTATGAATTTTTTATTTCTGGAATTTTTCATTTAATATTTTTGAACTGCAGTTAACCATGGATAACTTAAAGCATGGAAAGCTAAATGGTGGATAATGGGGGACTACTGCATTAGCATCTTACTGTTTATTATTATAATATATGTCATACTATTTAGTACCCAATTATATCAGAATGTGATACTAAAAAAACCCCTATTTTTCAGTAGTTGCTTCTGACCATCCCTTTTCTCCTAATTAGATTTAAAGCTCCTTGTGAGTAAAGTGCTCCTGAGCCATACGGAGTGACTCAGATGATCCTTAGAAGTAATACATGCTGAGTGTATATTGTGCTTTCTATAGAATAAGGTTTTTAAAAAATTTTATTGGGGTGACATTGGTTAATAAAATTACATAAGTTTCAGGTGTCCAATTTTATGATACATCATCTGAATGGTATATTGTCTTGTGTGCTTACTACCAAAGTCAAGTATCCTTTCATCACCATTTATCCACCCTTTACCTTTTCCTTCCCTCCCACCCACCTTTTCCTCTGGTAATCACCATACTGTTCCTATGAGTTTTGTTTTGTTTTTTTTTGCTTAATCCCTTCACTTTTTCCACCCAGGCCCGCCCCCCCTCCTCTCTAACAGTTGTCAGTCTGTTTTCTGTATCTGTGAGTCTGTTTCTATTTTGTTCATTAGATTCCACATGTAAGTGAAATCATATGGTACTTGTCTTTCTCTGACTGGCTTATTTCCTTTAACATAATACTCTCCAGGTCCACCCATGCTGTTGCAAAATGTAGGATTTACTTCTTTTTATGGCCAAGTAGTATTCCATTATGTGAATGTACTACAGCTTCCTTTTTTAAAAATATATTTTTATTGATTTCAGAGAGGGAGAAAGAGAAACATCAGTGATGAGAGAGAATCATTGATTGGCTGCTTCCTGCATGCCCCCTACTGGAGGTCCAGCCCGCAACCTGGGCATGTGCTCTTGACCGGAATCGAACCCAGGACCCTTCAGTCTTCAGGCCAACACTCTATCCACTACCACAGTTTTTTTATCCACTCATCTACTGATGGGCACTTGGGCTGCTTCCAAATCTTGGCTGTTATAAATGACACTGCAATGAACATAGGGATGCGTATATTCTTTTGAACCAGTGTTTCAGTTTTCTTTGGATATATTCCCAGAAGTGGAATTGCTGGGTCCGTTTTTAATTTTTTTGCTTTCCACAGTGGCTGCACCATCTGCATTCCCACCAACAGTGTACGAGGGTTCCCCTTTTCTCTGCATCCTTGCCAATACTTTTTTGTTGATTTATTGATGATAGCTATTCTTGCAGGTGTGAGGTGTTATCTCATTGTGGTTTTAACTTGCATTTCTCTGATGATTAGTGACATTGAGCATCTTTTCACATGCCTGTTGGCCATCAGTATGTCCTCTTTGAAGAAATTTCTATGCAGGCCCTTTGCCCATTTTCTTACAGTAATTGGATTGTTTGTTTTTTTGGTGTTGAGTTGTGTAAGTTCTTTATAAATTTTAAATATTGACTTATGGGAAGAATTGCTGGAGACGCAGTAGTGGTAGTGTGTCTTTAGTAGCACATTCCTTATTTTACTTCTTACCCTTCAAATTATTCACAAAATCGAAAAATTTTCAAGTTAATTATGGTACTGTAGAGTATTAAAAATATATATTTTTATGTATTAAATTCAAGTTAAAATTTTAATGACTAATAATTAGGAAAATTAGCTTGTTTGGAATCTCCTATGTGATCCTTTGAAAATTCTTATTTCTTTTACCTTGATTCTGTTTTTCTCCTTTCTATATTCAAGTGCATCCTTTTTTTTATATTAAGGAATGACAAAGTGACATTAGAATCCAATAAATTACTTAACTCATTTTTCATGCCAGCTTTGTACAGTAATGAGCTGTATCATTCACTGTGATGTTATTTCTGCTGCTAAATCTTGCTACTTTTCCTAGTTTCTTCCTTTCTTTATGGTAAGGCAGGTCAGGTGAATTTTACACAAAGGTAGGTAAAATGTTCTTAAAAGATTTCAAGACTCCACTGTTACCTTTTATTATGGACTAGAGGCCCAGTGCACGAAATTCATGCATGGGTAGGGTCCCTAGGCCTGTGGTCAGGGCCGATTGGAGCCTTCTTTTCCCGGCTGCCGGCTGCCAGCCGGGGTCTTCCTTCATTTCGTGCCACGCCCTGGTGGTCAGCACACATCATAGTGAGCGGTTGAACTCCCGGTTGGTTGAACTCCCGAGGGGACAGTTTGTATATTAGCCTTTTTATTATATAGGATTGTTTTATAGATTTTATTTTAATTTGTCATTAGTGTTTCTAAAGTAGATAAGTAGCATAATTACACATACTTTTTTTATTAGTTACCTATTACTGTGCAGCAATATTACCACAAATTTAGTGGCTTAAAACAACACACATTTATTATCTCAGCTTCAGGATCTTGGGCTTCAGTAAAGGTGTAGAGTAGGGCTGTGGTCTCATCTGAGATTTGACTGGGGAAGGATTCGCTTCTATGTTCATGTGACTTTTTGGCAGAATTCAGTTCCTTTTAGGCTGCTGGAGTGAGGGTCTCAGTTTTTTACCCTGTGGCCATCTTCATATGCACCTCATAACATTGCAGCTTGCTTCTTCACAGCCAGTAGGAGGAAGGCCTCCTCTAAGATAGGCATTGCAGTTCTTTGTAATATAATCATGTACACATAATCATCCTGTTGGTTAGAGCAAGTTGCAGGTCCCATCCACACTCAGGGGGAGGGGATTACACAAGGGCATAAACTCCAGGAATTGGGACCACCCTGGAGTACCTCTGCCACAACTTATTTAGTATATCTTACCATGAGATTAATACTTTTCTTATTCATTACTTTTTGCTGCTTGTTTAGATGGAATGATTAACTTTGGATATTTTATTTTCCTAACCAGATTCCATTGGCCGTGACATCCCCAAAATGCTTGAATTATTTAAAACTGGAATTGAAATTAAGGTAGATGAAGAAAGGGAGAACTTTCTCTCGACCAAAATAGCAACAGTAAGTTAACAGTGGAAATTATTCAATAACCCTTTTATATATTTTGCTTAAGTGATTCATTAATAATTTATAATATATCAGTCCTTTGAACTTGTTCTTGTCACTAGCATTAGGAGTGGCACATAGATAATTTTTTTATTGATTAAACTCATAAATTTTAATGGCACTATAGAATTTCTTCCTTTTGAGTTATGTGCTACCCACTGACATTTACTTGTACTTTGCCTTATTTCATTATTCTATATATGTTATTTCTGTTCCTAATAAAGTAGGGTCTAGATCTTATGTATGCCCTATAAGACTTTGCATAATGCTGAGTTCATAATAGGTATTTAATACTACTTTAATGGAATTGAGTAATTTGCTTTATTTTTATGAATTATTTCTGATTATCTCTGAGTGGGTTTTAAAACCTTTTTGTCTATTTACAGAAGATGCTAGAAATCAATTTCCAAAGCTACTTTTAGGAAACTACTGTGATCTGTCAAATTTTTACAGGATTATGTTTTTAAATACACAGCTATTTGCAAGCATCTTTTAAAAAATAGAAAGATAGAAACATCAGTGATGAGAGAGAATCATTGATCGGCTGCATCCTGCACGCTCCCCACTGGGGATCGAGCCCGCAACCCGGGCATGTGCCCTTGACTAGAATCAAACCCAGGACCCTTAAGTCCACAGGCCAAACCAGCTAGGGCTGCTAATATCTTTTTTATATTAAAGAATCTCTAAAATATCTATTTAATGTGTGTAATTTTATTCTGTGCAATAACTATAGGGATAATAGTTATATTGATAACAAATTTTAAATTGCCTACCAAGTGCCAGGCACCATTCTAAACACTTTTTTTTTTTTTTAATATATTTTATTGATTTTTTACAGAGAGGAAGGGAGAGAGATAGAGAGCCAGAAACATCGATGGGAGAGAAACATCGATCAGCCGCCTCCTGCACATCTCCTACTGGGGATATGCCCGCAACCCAGGTACATGCCCTTGACCGGAATCGAACCTGGGACCCCTCAGTCCGCAGGCCGACGCTCTATCCACTGAGCCAAACCGGCCTCGGCAACTTTTTATATATTCTATCTTTTAATTCTCAAACCTGTGAAAGGTAAATTATCCCCATTTTGTAGATGAAGGCATGGAAGCCCAGGAAGGTTAAATATTTTTTCCAAGGTCCCATAGGTAGTATAAGGCAGAATAGGTATTTGAATCTTGGCAGTCACCTCCAGAGTGCAGGCTCTTTAACCCTGTACCATTCAGCCTCATGGCTGGAATTACTTGAATAGCTGTTATCCTTCCTCCCATCCTACTCCTAAGAGGAATTATGCATTATATCGAACAGGTAGTAGTCCAAGCTAATTGAACTGTGCCCACTGTAGATCATCAGAAATGTAGAAAAAGTGCTCGGATAGTTTTATGGAAGGAAAACTTGCTTTAGAAAGGGGCAAAGCCGGTTTAATGCAGTCAGGGATTGGGAAACTGCTCATTGCCTTCATTACCATCAAAGGTCAGCTCCAGTTCATGTGGCTTTGAACTCTGCTAGAACCTGATGTATGAATTTCCTTGTTCCCCAAAGGCCCTTGGCAATGCTTCTTGTTTCTTAGGGATGACAACATTGTAACGTAAAAAATAAAAAACCAAATACAAATTTTAAGAGAATATGCTGGAGCTATAGAGACATGGGCTTGAATACCAGTACTGCTACTTAAGGAATGGCAGACTTTAAGCAAGTTTCTTACTGTAGTTGTGTCTCACTTTTCCTCATCCATAAAAGTTATATGGTAATATCTGTTCCATAATTTTATTCAAAGATTAAATAAAATTTTAAAATGGTAGCAGCTATTATCATTACTCTTTTGGTTGGACTTTTTGGGGCTATAGAATGTCTTTATAAAACTCTTTACAGTTAGATTTTTTTCTTTTTAAGTGATGTTTTCAGTATATTCAAAATAGTAATTTATATAGATCCAGACATAGAGTATACTAAGCCATGGCTTCTTATTCATTCTGTTCAACAAATACCATAATGATTAAGATATGGGCTTCGGCTTAGCCAGTGTGGCACAGTGGTTGAGCATTGACCTATGAACCAGGAGGTGAGAGTTTGATTCCCAGTCAGGGCACATGCCTGGTTACAGCTTGATACCCAATATGGGGCATGCAGGAGGCAGCTGATCAATGATTCTCTCATCATTGCTGTTTCTGTCACTCTTTCCCTCACCCTTTCTCCCTGAAATCAATAAAAATATATATTAAAAAAAAAAAGACGTGGGCTTCAGATCAGACTCCCTGGATCTTTTAGAGAGATAATAATTTTTATAATGGAAAACGAATTATTCTGTGTGTTTAAAGTGAATCTTTTTGAATACTACTTAAATAGTGTAGTATAATAATGGGTTTTAGATTCATACTGTCTGCTTCAAATCCTAGTTCCAAATTAGAACTCTGCCACCTTGCTCTCTGAGTTTGAGTTTTCCTCCATGTCCTGTGTATGTAAAATGAAGTTAATAGTGGTACAGACTTTCTAGGTTAGGAAGGGGTAGATAAAATGACATGGTAACTATCAAAGACTTTCTAGGTTGAAATGGAGTAATAGAAACCTGATTTATCCTCCTCCTAAAGCAATTAACATTACCTTGATATCAAAACCAGACCAAAATAAGAAAAGGGTAGTCCAGTATAATTCATGAACATAGATGTTAAAGTTATAAAAATCAACAATAAAACAATTCCCTTTAAAAATCAGCAAAAGATTTGAACACACTTTACCAAGGTGTGACAAACACATTGGAAGATGCTCAACATTATTAGTCGTTAAGGAAATACAAATTAAAACCACAGTGACATATCATTACATATCCACTGGAATAACTAAAGTTAAAAAGACTGTGACAAGTGTTGATGAGGACATGGAGGGACTGGAATGCTCATAACACTGCTGTGGAAATGTAAAATGATGCTGCCGTCGGTTTGGCAAACAGTTTGGCAGTTTAAGAAGTTTAACATCCACCTCTTATATGATCCCACTATTCCACTTTTAGATAGTTACTCAGGAGAGATGAAAACATATCTCCATAAAAATACTTGTAAACAAATGCTTATATCAGAGTTATTTGTAATAGCTAAAAATGGAAACATTCTACATATGTAGTGACAGATGAATGTATAAATAAACTTTGTTAGGTTTCTATAAAATTATTATTTTTTTTAAATCCTCACCCAGGGATGTTTTTCCATTGATTTTTAGACAGAGTGGAAGGGAGGGAGGAGGGAGGTGGGAGAAGGAAGAGAGGGACAGAGATGTGAAAGAGACACATCGATTGGTTGCCTCCTGCATACTCCCTGACTGAGCCTGCAACCTAAGTACATGCCCCTGACTGAGACTCGAACCTGGACCCTTCACTCCATGGGCCAATGCTCTTAACCACTGAGCCAAACCGGCCAGGGCTATATCTCTATAATAGAATATTCTTCAGTAATTAAAAGAAACTACTGATGCATGCTTTAATATGGATGAACTTAAAAATAATTATGCAGAGTAAAATAAGCCAGACAAAAAGGAGTGCATATTGTATGATTCTATTTATATAAAATTCTGGCAAATGCAAAATAATGTATAGTGACAGACAGAAAACAGATCAATAGTTAACTTGGGGACAAAGGTGGAAAGGAGGGATTAGGAATTTTGAGGATCAGTGACATGTTTGTTATCCTGACTGGTGATGGTTTCATGAATATGTACATAGTTAACATATTAACACTTGAATATGTATACATACATATATATTTTTTATTGACCAGAGAGGAAGAGAGAAGGTGAGAGAGACAGAAACATCAATGATGAAAATAATTGATTGGCTGCCTCCTGCACGCCCCCAACTGGGGATCAATCCCACAACCCAGGCATGTGCCCTTGACCAGAATCGAACCTGGGACCCTTCAGTCCACAGGTTGATGCTCTATCCACTGAGCCAAACCAGCTATGGCAATATATTAACACTTTAAAGATGTGCAGCAGATCCCATGAAATACTATCTATACCAGCCGTGGGCAAACTACGGCCCGCGGGCTGGATCCGGCCCGTTTGAAATGAATAAAACTAAAAAAAAAAAAAAAGACCGTACCCTTTTATGTAATGATGTTTACTTTAAATTTATATTAGTTCACACAAACACTCCATCCATGCTTTTGTTCCGGCCCTCTGGTCCAGTTTAAGAACCGATTGTGGCCCTCGAGTCAAAAAGTTTGCCCACCCCTGAATACTGATAAAAGCCTAGGTGGCCCTCACACCCCCACATCGTCCCAAGATGGCTGCCACAAGATGGTTGCCCTCACATCGTCACAAGATGGCCATCACAAGATGGCTGGCAGGGAAGGGTAGTTGGGGGCAACCAGGCCTGTAGGGGAGGACATTTTGGGGGACCAAGCCGGCAGGGGAGGGCAGTTAGGGGCAACCAGGTCGGCAGGGTAGGCCAGTTGGTGGTGACCAGGCTGGCAGGGGAGGGCAGTTGGGGGCCATCGAGCTTGCAGGGGAGTGGTTAGGGGGCAATCAGGCAGGCAGGCAGGTGAGCGGTTAGGAACCAGCAGTCCCGGGTTGTGAGAGGGATCCAAGATTGGAGAGGGTGCAGGCTGGGCTGAAGGTACCCCCCCTCCCCCGCCCCCCGTCACCCCGGGCGCGAATTTTGTGCACTGGGCTTCTAGTTTAGCAATAAATAGGAACAAACTATGGATACATGCTCTGTTGTGGATGAACCTCAAAAACATTATGCTTAGTGAAAGACACCAGACACAGAAATCACTTACCTGGGGTGGGGGCAGGAAGAAACAGTCATAACAGTAAATGTGCATAAGTCATATTGGGTTGATGAAGATGTTTAAAACTGCTTGCTGGTGATGGTTGCCCAACTTGGTAAACTTACTAAAAAATTATTGAATTGTAAATTAGAAAATGGCGAATAATATGAAATGAAAAATATGCCTCAATAAAATTATTAA